GGCACGTTCAGCAGCCTTTTGCAGGCCTCCGCTGTTTCTGTGGCGCGCCGAAGGAGACGCCCTCGTCCTTCGACTGCGGGAGGACCAGCGGCGCGCCCATGGCTCGAGAGTCGACCATGGCCCGGCGAGATATCCATCGGCACAGCGTACTCCAGCACCAGGCCATCCCGAATCCGGTCGCAAACTTCTCCTCGTCGTGCCTCGGGCCCCTCACTCCCGTCGCGCAGTCGGTGGCGACCCGAGCCTGGAAGGCCAAACGTAGTCGGGGATCCGTCGTGCGTGGCGCATGCAGGCGAGGAGCTCGATCAACGGGTCGCCCGGCTTCAAGCGCTTTGTGCCTTTCAGCTCGATCACGTGGGGCACTTTTCCGAACGCTCTAATGGCGTGCTGCACTTCCGCGCTCGGAGGCGGATCCAACTTGTAATTGCCGTGCTCATCTTTCTCTTGGACGTCCCTGATGTGCCCTATGGCTTTCGTCGGGGTGAGCTGGGGGAAGTCGCCCAAGTGCATGGCGATGGGGACTCGCCCAAAATGGTGGTGGTCCTTCCTGTAGTTGGACTCGTCCACGGCGAACTCCTGGCGCCTGCCGAACATGCACCTGTAACCCAGCATGTTGTGGAGGCATGCAGATGCCATGCTGATCTCCTCCATGATGAGCACGCGCGCTCGGCGCCAGCGCTGCTCCAGCTTCTTGAGCTTCGCCTGGCTTGGCGTTCGTATTCTCTTGCGCGCCCATGCCTCCAGCTCCGCGCATCGCCATGGCCCCCGCGTCCGCCGTCGAGATGTTCTTGGCCTGGGCGTTGGAGAAGGCCGCCACGGCGAGGCTCGGACTGGCTTTGCTCTCTTCAGGCCAGATGTGGTTAACCGCCTTGAAGACGAGCTCCTGGACCACGTGCGTCTTGCCGGATCCGCCCTGACCAAGTAGGAGGACGTGGTGGACCGTGCGCCGGTGGCAGGGGGCGCCGTTCTTCTCGTCGTGCCAGACCCGGCCACAGGCGCCAGCAAAGCGCATGGCAACGATGATCTGGCCCCGAGTGAGCCGCTTTTCCTCTGGCAAGCCAGCCGCGAGGTCCACGATGCAAGCGCTCGGAGTAGCGTGCGCGCCCGCCTCGTCGAATGACGCCGGCTCGGGGTCCTTCCCGTCTCCCGCGCCGGGCGCCCTCTCCTCGTTGCAGAGCTCGTCTGCGGTCTTATCCTCGAATGCGAGATCCTGCAGCCTGAGCACATGGAGCTGCTTGTTCACGTGGTCCGCGCCGCCCCGCACGTCCGGCATGCTGTCGCGCAGACCACGGCACTGCAGACGCCATGCTTCCCCTTGGCCTTGGTCGAACGGGCGAACAGCGCGCGAGTGGTCGAGGAGGGCGTCCTTCAAGTCCATGCACGGGAGGGCCAGCAGCTCTTTCTCGAAGGCTCGGAGCCGGGTCCTATGGCCGCAGGTCAGCGTCTTCCTGTAGTCAGTCCTCGGAACTCCTCATCCCCAGAAGAGGCAGCTCTTCGAAGATGCTGACCTTCAACTGCGGCTCAGCGGGGGGGTCGTCCGCCGCGTTGCCCGCCCCCTGCCGTCGCTAGGCCCGCCCCCGCCAGCGGTCATGCAGAGGCACGCCTGGCGAACGGCAGCGTCGGACTGGCACTGACGCGGGCGGTGCTCCATGCGCGCCCTCGCGAGGCCCTCCAGGTTCTGCGCGACCTGCATCCCGACGAGGGCGGCGCGCTGCATCACCGCGGCGCGCTCCTTGCTCTTGTCAGGGCCTCAGGGGCGCGAGGGGCGGGAAGCGCGGATGCACTCTGACAAGCCACGCGGGGCCATCCGAAACGGGCTACAGGCCAGCGACGCACGCGACGACGCTGACGACGACCTCGACAGTCTCCTGAGATCGGAAGGGCCACCGACGCAGTCCACGATCTCGAGCCGAGCATCCGTCGGGGCTATAGATCGGCGCCACTGAGCGCGCGGCAATGATCTGGATCGACTTCCCCGACGTGGCCGCGCTCCAGCCGGGCGCCGAGTTGCGCTGCTAACACCTTCCGTCTCCCACAGGGAGGGGTACTCGAACCTGTCCAGGAACCGCCGCTGGCCCCCTGCTGCGCCCCCCTCCATCTCCCGCTGGCAATGTATCCAATTGGCCGAGAACGCCGTGGCCAGTGTGAGATACTCCCGGGAGCCGTCTGGCAACGGCGAACACATGGGTGCAAATGCTTCCAGTTCAGTCATCTCCTCAGTCAGAGTGTCGCTGTGCGCTGTAGCCAAGTGGCGCAGAAGCAACTGCTTGTACATGGCGGCTGTCTCCGAATCCTGCGCGTGCGACGGCATCTGGAACCCGTCGAACATGGGAACTCGCAACACGGTGACCAACCGCTGGACTCGGGTCTGGGCGTGGGTGTAGTTCGGGTCGAGGTCGAACTCGATGGCCTTGGACTTCCTCTCTGTGCCTGGAGCGCGTGGCAAGCAAGGGAGGGGCAGTGCCTACTCCTCTCTCTCCCTCGGCCAGTCTAGGACTTCCTCGGCCCTGCGCCCGACTATCTCCGACGCCAGGGCTGTTCTCCTCCTAGCCCACTTCCTTTTCTCTCTGCTCCTCCACCTCGTCCTCCTTCCCCCTCCCCGTTTTCCTCGGCCTGGAAACGGCCCTCGGTGACCTCCCACTCTCCTCTTCGCCTCTCCCCCTGTTCCTCCTCGCGCCCCCCCCCCCCGGTGCCCAAGGCGCGTCCTCGGAAAGGTGGCTTCTCGGTCGAGTGGACCCACGTGGCGTAGATGTACAACGGCATGTCTTTCAGGACTGGGTGGTCTCCGCGACGCAACCAGTCGTCGACGGGCGTAGTAGTGCGCGTGCGCCTGGCCCCCTCGCCGTCCAAGAATTGCTGCAATGCAGTCATCGCCACTTTGCGCTCGCCCCTGTGCGACCCCCGCAAGTTCTGGCTCTTCATGGCCACGTCCTAATCGTAGGCAGACTGGAGGTCCCCGAGATCGGTGCCATCCGGCTGCCGGTAAAGCTCCGCGGCGCCGCCCAGACGCACGCGCCCCCATCCCGCGAGCGGATGCAACTCCTTGTCTTTGGTGAGGTACCTCAGACCAACTCCGCCGCCGTCCCTGATGCGTTTGTGTCGCGCGGCCTCGCCGAACTTGTTCCGCCGCGTCTGCGCTGCGAGAAAGACGGCCCTCTTGGTGAACACCTTCCAACAACGATGGGAGTGCGTCATGTTTTTGAACCTCATCGGCATCAGCATCTCGCCCATGCTCCTGCGATGACACCGCTTGAAGGCAGACGACATGGCGTTCAGAGCCTGCAGCATTTCCTGGGGCCCCGCCCGGGAGCCTCGGAAGCAGCGCTCCCTTCTGCATCGTGGCCCTGCGTGTTCTTGGTGGCCTCCAGCATTTCCTCCCGCCTCAGCTCCAGACGCTCGATCCCCTTGCGCAGCTCCTCGAGGGCCCCCTGCGTGTCCGGCAACTGCTTGGTCGTGTGCGCATTGATGTAGAAGCCCGCGTTGATGCCGTCGCACATCGCTGCCGTGGACTGTCGCCCCAAGACTGACGTGAGCTCATTGTCCTGGGCGACTGTTGCATCGTCCGACCGCGTGCGCTCTAGGAGTTTGGCTCTCCACTCATCAGGAGTTAACTCTTCCGCGAATGCGCGGGGCTCGGCCGGGAGATTGCCCTTCTCGAGGGAACGCATCGGCAAGTAGTCAGTCTCTACCCTTTCGTAGTCGTTCATGTATTCGAGAGTTGGCTGGTCGCCAAGGCGCGGGAGTTCCTCGTCTGCTTGGTGCCAGTGCTGCAGAGGGGGGAGGCGCCGAAGGTCCTGGGAAGGGACAAGCAGAGCGGAGGAGGTCACCGGGGGCCCTTTTCACCACAGATGCCCGCTATCCAGCAGACCCCAATCCCACTTTACAACCCCCCTCCCTTCCCCCCCAGGCGGTTGTCCATGCCACTCAAGGGGGATAAGGGAGGGGATGTCACCGAGGGCCGTTTCTCGAAAGAGCGTCAGCAGAACACGAGTCAAGACCGCGCGTCAGAACACACCTCCAGAGAACAACACGCCGAATTATCGAACACACCAGCACATCCTGCACGTCCAGATTGCATCGCGTGCAGTCGAGCCCGGCGTAGTTGGTGAGGCATTCAAAAAGATGCTCCTGGAACAAAAGCAGTCTGCCTGTCATGCCATGTTCAGATAGGCCCACGACGACGACTGCGTTGCGGAGAGGATTCCCTTGCCGTCGTCTCTGCCAGCCTGGTAAGCTGATGATGTAGTAGTAGTCATGCCTGCGTATATTCTGAACCTTGACACCGCTGTACTTGAAGCAGCTCCCCCCGCGCACGTGCACCGGGATCTCCTCAGCCAAGGACCTCGCGTTCTCCGTGAAATCCTGCTCCCACGAGTGCGGACTCTGCTCGCCGGCGCTGAGATCCCCGCGGCGATGAAGCGCACCGCGCCCGCGATGGTCCGGACACGTGACTGCGGCAAGCTCGGCGACGGCCTTGGAGAACGTGGATCCGCGCTTCGGCTTGCCGCCCCCTGCCGCGCTCGACTGCGTGACCGACTTGGCTTTGAGGGGCAATTCAGGTCTGCTACGCGCTGCCTTTTCGGCCGCGCCCTCGGAGAGACGACTCTGCTCCACCGTTGGTTCCATGCTGTCTCGGTGGAGATCGTCGCGCATGGAGTCGATCTCGCTGCCCCCGTCGTGCCTGGTCAAGCTTCGCTCTGTCTTGGAAAACGGGGGCAGTTCCGCGACCTGGTCGGGGTGGCCAAACCTCTGGGGCGCTCTCATCACGGAGCTCTGGCATGTGGACTGCATGGACGACGCGCGCTGCTTCATCCAGGTCGCCAGGCGGGTCTGCAGGGGGCCAGGGTCTCGCTGCAGCATTCGCAATGCGTCCGCCGGTCTCATGCCAAGTAACCAAACGAGGATGTGCGGATGTAGAGAGCCCCTGTCTGCGCTTCGATCTCCCCGCGGAAAGCAAGCGCGGGGCCGAAGATGCCCGGCCCGAAAGAAGAAGCCGCAACGCCGTCCGCGCACTGATCGGCAGAGGGCCGCGCGCGACGCCGATTTTTCAAGAGTTCTGGTCGCGCTCCCGATGCGTGCATGAAGAACAGCTTCATCATCTTGTCGAGCACGACCGTCTGACCCACTGGGTACCCGGCAAGCCTCTTCATCATGTCCCAGTACTTCGGCAGGGTCTCGTTGCATGCGATAAAACGTCCTCCAGACGAATCTCTCCCCCCTGGGCGACGAGGAGCAGCGGCCGCTTCGCGTCCGCAAGGTTGGGGGTGCAGAGCGCGACAGGCTCGCCGAACAAGGTCATGTAGGCATTCCCTTCGTGCCGGCACAGTCGGCGGTGCCCGTCCGTGCCCATGATGTCGGCATGGCCCATCTGCTAGGCATTCAGGGCCACAGAGAGGTTGTGAGGGAACTCCTGGTCGGATGCCAAGTTGCGGAGCCCGTGGATGCGGCCGCCACGCGCGCGCTGCAAACGGGCGGCGGCTGCGACTTCTTCCGGCGTCAACTTCAGGAGCTGCTCGGCGATCTTCATGCCGCCGCTCGTCAGGAAGGCGCACTGCGACGTGCGGCGCTCCGTGAGCCATTAGATGGGGGAGAACAGATGAAGGGCGAGCCAATCGGATGCGAAGCGGTTGGACGACAGATTTCGGTCCACCTTGTACTGCTCGTCGTCTTCTCCGTCCACCGTGTGCTCCAGCTCCTCGCGCATGAGCAGGCGCGCGGAGCGGGGCGTACGGGGGGCAGGCTCGCTGCGGATCACCAAACGCTCCCTCTTCGTAGTGCCAGAGAGTGGGTCGAGCCTGCGTCATGGCTTCCCAGTTGAACAGAGAGAACGGCCTGCTGCCCCGCGCGACCTGCAGGTGAGGCACGGCGGTCGAGGCGGACGCGGCGGCGGCGTCGGAAGGCTGCGACGTGCTGGGCGCCGCGGGCGGAGAAGCCTGATAATCGACGCCACGAAGCAGCCGCTGCAGCTCTGCGAGCATTTTGCGTTGCGACTGCTCGCTCGTGGCTTTCTGCGCGAGCTTCCGAACCTTGGCGCATTGCTCAAGTATGCGCTCTCGGCCGGCCTCGTCCTGGAGGCAGGAGTCATTGCCGTCCACTTGCGACTCCAGGATGGACTCCGCTTCCGCCGCCACCGATCGCGCTGCGGCGGCGTCGAGCTCTTCCAGCTGGTGCTGCAGGCTTGTTATCTGCGTGCAGCTCTCGTGAGCTTTGGCGCCGGGGATGTCATCGGGGTGGGAGGCGGCCACTACTCTGGACTGGCGCTCGAGCAGGACGTCCTCGTCGATCCTGTCGGCGTGCCCCGCCGCCGTGGCGCCCCCGGGCCCGCTGGGCAGGACCGCGCCCGGGTCGTCGGTTTCCATGGGGGCCTCCACAGCGGAGTCCGAGATCGGGGGCGGCGCCCGTTTCTCATCGCCCGCTTGGCGCCACTGGGCCACCAGGTCGGCGTCGTAAGTGGTCTCGGCGTATGCGACGTTGGTCTTCCGAAAGTAGGCCGCCTGAGCGTCGAGCACGGACTTCTCGACCGATGCGGCTGACGCGGGCGCGGCCCCTGCGCTGGGCCTCGTCGGCGCCCTCGTCGCCCTGGGAGGGCGGCCCCGTGAAACTGACGGCAAAAGACTTTCCCGGGTCAGGGGTCGGGAACCGCGTCAAGGCCTCGGTGCACAAGGCGTTCCCGAACAGCACAGCGCACCCCGTGAAGCCAGACTGGTGGGCGAGGAAGTCCCAGGGGCGCGCGGTCTGACAGCCGGCAGTCTCAGCCTTGGAGCGCTGGTCTGTCCGCAGCACAACCTCGGTGGCAACCGCCCGCGCCAAGGCGAGCAGCATCTCGTGAGCCAGCGTCGTGTCTCGGAACAGCGGGGGCCAGCGGCCAGTCCACGCGTGGTTCGCCAGGGCGTATTTGCACATCGTGGGGGACTTCTTCTTGAAGTTGTCGAAACACTCCTGGCAGACGTTCACTTTCTCGTGCCCGCTGGCTTGCGCATCATTGACTCGGCGCTTGCGGGGGAGCACGGGCCTGCGATCCTGCGAGTCTCCGACCCTCGTATTCACGGCCGACGCGAGAAGCTCTTCTTTCGGGATGAGGTTCCAGGCCTCGTGGTTCGTCTCCGGATCGGGCAGCGCAGCCGCGGCCTCTGGAGTCTGCGTGAATCAGCGCGGCCCGGCCAGGTAGATTTGCTGGACGTCTTCCGACCACTGGCGTCGCGCGCAGAAGACGCGCGCCTTCATGCACCTGGGGCCCCACCTCTGGTCACGGGGCAAACCTTCGTCCGAGTCGGCCTGCGCCTTCTTCTCTTCCGAGAACCCGTCTCAGCCCATGGCTCCTCGAGTGTAGAATTCCGTGAAGTTACTGGGGATGAGCCCCATATCCTGGCCCATGGTCTTGTGCGGGCACAGCGACTCGGGCGCGAAGAGGGCATTGCGGTACCTCTGTCCCCCCCCCCTGTGCTCCTCGTTCACGTGCTCGAGCCAGTCGCCCTTTCAGACGAACCCTGTGTTCTGGCACAGTTGGCGTGGCACGGTATGAGTGTGCCGCGCCCGAATGTCCCAGATCATGACCTTCTCCGTAGGCTCCATGCGGCGAAGCTCACGAGTATGCTCATACCTGCGGATCGGGTCCTGGGATTCGGCGAAGTGATCGAGTCGGGTGCGGTCTCGATTATCCCCCTGCCCAGTTCTCGCCCACCTGCTCTTCACGTTCTGTCTGCCAGCAGTCGTATTTTTTTAGCCCGTACGGCTTCTTTGCCACTCGCGCGTTCGTCTCGGTCCTGCTGCTGACTGCTTCGGTCCTGCTCCCTGCCGCTTCGGTCCTGCTCCCGGCCACTTCGGCCCTGCTCCCGGCCGCGTCGGCCCTGCTCCCGGCCGCTTCGGTTTTGCTGTCGCCCGCTTCTGTCCCGGCCGCCATGGCCGTGCTGCGTGCCGCCCTGGCTGCTCGCCCCCGCCGGCTCCTGCCCGCGGGCCTGTCTGGCATGTCCCTGGGCGCGTCGATCCGCTTGCCGCTGCGTCGCCGATGCGGCCTCCGCCACCTTGCCGGTCAAGAGATCCAGCATGGTGCGGGGGTCAGCCCGCGCCTGCTTGCCGCGCAGTCGCCTGCCCGTCGCTGTCTCGACGCGCGTCGGGAGGACGAGGTGCGGGAAATGATCTGGTGGCTCGTGCAGCCTCATCACTTTATCGTCGTTCATCTCGAACCAGGCGTCGTCCGAGTGCGCGAAGGTCAAGTAGTGGCCAGACCGCGTCCTCTGGTCGGCGGAGACGTCTCCTGCTGCCTCGCGTGCCACAAACGAGGCGACGCGATGCGCGACAGTGTCCTCGGCACCAGCCACTGTCACCTCAAACTCGGCTGTGCCCCAATCTGCCCTGGCAGTGACGGAATGTCGGACGCCGCCGAGCTCGCACGTATTCTCCACGCGTAGCATCAGCGCAGGAGAAGGCGCCGCGATGGCAGCGTCTCGGGTCGAAGAAACCATCGGCACACCCGCAACATTGACATTGCCCGCCGCCGCTGCTACCTGCGCTTCGGGAGACGCCTCGCACAGGATCTGGCCATCGACGGCCACGCTAGCTCCCGAGCCAAACACTCTGGTGCGCAGGTCCTGGGCGTTGTCCAAGCACCCCAGCAGGAAGGTCGCGAACTCGGAGGCGCCCTTCTGCGTTTCTCCCGGATATTTACCCGGGTAGAGGAAGTAGCTGACCAGCTTCCCCAGCAAGGGCACGGTGTCCAAGCACGTGCTCTCCGGGTCTACCTTAGTGGTGCGATTTGGCAGACTGCGCGGTGGATCGGCCGCCCCCGAACTGAAACCCACAAGACTTCCACTTTAATATGCCTCCCCCCCCCTGATAATCAAAGCAACCCTGGCGGCCGACCAGAACCGCATCCACAATGGCATCATGCAGAGCGAGAAGCTCATCGAGGGCTGTTTGCATGTTGGGGCAAACAGCGATGGAGGTCACCGAGGGCTGTTTTCAGGGGGGCAAGGGGCGAGGGGTCACCGAGGGCCGTGAATGGATCAGGAGGCGAGATGGTCACCAATGGATGGACCGGTACCCATGTCCAAGCACCCCCCGTCCTTGTAGGCCATTGGTGATGTTCGAGGATGCAAGTTGCCTTACTCGCCCATTGACAGAAGGCCTCAGGGCACTGCGTGTGGAGAAGCCCTTCGATGGAGAGTCCCCAGGCGCACGCGGGATCGCTCAGGTAGGAGGAACCTCGGAACTGCACCGGGGAGGATCGAGGGGCCGCGTTCGACGCGAGGCAAGAAGCGAGGGGTCACCGACGGCCGTTTCCTGTGGAAGTGAAGCCGAGACGGTCACTGGGGGCCGTTTCTCAGCGAGCAAAGAACGGGGTCACCGAGGGCCGTTTCCCAGCATGCAACAGGAGGCGAGAGAGTCACCAAAGGATGGACCGGTACCCATATCCAAACACTCTCCGCCTTTGTCGGCCAATAGTGATGTGCGCGGATGCACGCTGCCTGACTCGCCCATTGACAGAAAGCCTCAGGGCACTGCGTGTGGAGAAGCCTTTCGATGGAGAGTCTCCAGGCGCACGCCGGAGCGCTCAGGTAGGAGGAACCTCGGAACTGCACCGGAGAGGATCGAGGGCCGCGTTCGACGCGAGGCAAGAAGCGAGGGGTCACCGACGGCGCACGACAGATTGCTCAGGTTGGAAGACCCTCGGGACTGCGGCGTGATCGAAGGCCGCGCTCGACGCTGGGCAAGAGACGACGGGCGTCACCGACGGCCGTTTTCCAGTGGAAGGTAAGCCGAGAGGGTCACCGAGATCCGTTCCCAGGCGAGGAAGGGGCAATGGTGTCACCGAGGGCCGTTTCCCGGAATGGTCGCCCCATCCAAGCGCGTGAAGCTATTGCCGGCATCAGATATGCGCAAGGGTGCAAGTTGCTTGGTTCGCCCTTTGACGGAAAGCGTCTGGGCATTGCGAGTGGCGAAGCTTTACGACGACAAATCTCCTGGCGCGCGCCCGATCGCCCGAGTGGAGGGGCCCTTGGGACTGGGCCAGAGAGAATCGACATCAGAGATCGTCTGAGGCCCGGGCGTACGAATGAACGTAGCGCCTCAGGCACTGGCCGAGCGGCACCAGGTCGGCCTCGCCCCTGCGAAGAAGCTCCAGCCTGGCAGACGAAGACGCAACGCGCTCTCGACGCGGCAGAGCTCCATGAATCTGGAGCAGGGGGAAGGAGCGGAGGCCGTTTCCAAAACACATCGTCACCAAGCGACTGGAATCGCTGTCCGTGGCAACCGAACGCTGAATCGGAGAATCCAGCGGTGACCCAGGGACGTTTCTCCAAACGCAACGCGATGTCTCATGGGGCTCGCAGCGTCGGGCCCGTCGTGCAGAACGTCGCGATTGTTTGGACTGAAACATCCCGAAGCCTCCAAGGCTTGCAGTGGAGCAGGGCCTGCGCCACGGCTTTGACGTAGCACGTATTCCCGAAGTTGGACATGCACACGGACGCCAGGTAGAGGTTCGACAGGTCGTCTGTAACGCAGGCAAAGAAACCGAATACTCTCTCCTTTGCGAACGAGAGAGTCGGCATGGGCGATGGCCATGACTCTGAAGTCCGCCCAGGCAGCGAGGACCCGTGTGATGCGCTTGGCCCTGACGGGGTCGGGGCGCGGGTCCGCCTGGTCAGCTGCGTAGAGGAACTTCACCGCATCCAGCTGCTCTGCCAGGGCTGCCTGCCGCGTGCGGTGCGCGACGCCTTCCGCGTCGCGCAAAGAATCGATGCCATGAACTCCGCGGCGGCTCGAAACGTCCATCGCCGTCGCCAGGGGGCGACGTCGCTGACCTCCCCGTAGAACTTGGCGCCAGCTCCACCGAGCAGGTCAGGCTGCAAGGTGAACAAACCAAGGGTGGGTACATCCATTCTGTAGGATCCTTTATTTATAGAGTACTTGTTGAGCGCCCTCCATAGGTCTGCATCGTCGCCTCTCCTCGACGGCCGGTACTCTGGATTAGAGGCTCGCTTGACTGCGAATTCCTCGTGCCATTTGACCGCCTTCGCATCCGCTTGGGCGAACAAGCTGTCAGGGAGAATCGATTCTCGCAGGTCGTGTGACCATGGTCCTCGTGACGAACGGCAGTCCGTCTCCGCCTGCTCCTGGGGCAGCTGAATGCGAGGGGTGCCAGTGTGAATGCGAGGGGTGCCAGTGGAACGAACAGAGGTAGCAAGCATAGCTGCTGGGGACCGCTGAGGGGTGGAGGCCTGCACGGGCGTGGACTTCGCTGGCGTGGGCTGCGCGGGAGTGGCAGTGCCCCCGTTGCTGGCATCGCCGACTCGCCGAACTTTCGCCAGCGGCGAGCCATCGCCACCCTCCGCCCCCCCAGGCTTATCAGCTGGGAACCCGCCAGACGAAGGGTTCAGCAGGTTCCGCATCATGCACTGCCTCCTGCCATCGTCGTTGCCTCCTTTACTCAGCTCGTTGTACCTGATCAGAAGAGTATTAGGTCACCGATTGGCGAGTTGTCGATGATAAGCATTACATGCGTTTCGAACCATAGGATCTCCGTGCGCATCCTTGTAGCCGCGCAGGCGTGCCAGATTGACCTCAAGGCCCATCCCATTCATTGCCTCCTTCAGCGCCAAACACGGAGGTGGCAGGGCGGCGATGGCAATCTTCGGCGGCATGAGTGCCGCGCACCGCAAGGGATCGCTTGCTGCTGTCAATGCGGAAGCAGGGCGCGTCTCGGTGGAAATCTAGGCGCGCTGAGCCGGCTTGAGCCAATGCGCTACATATCATGATGATCGAGGTTCAAAGACATGTGTCCCAGATGTCGGTCTCTGGAAGCTCCCCGCCCCATGCGCCGCCCTCTGGCGTCGAGGAACTGTTGCGCCTGACACGCCCTGGAAGCCTGAAAGTGAGAGCGCCCCCAACTCCTGCCACACCCTGCGAGCGTATCGCGCATAGAGGCCGCACTGAGGGACCACCCTCTGCGCACCCCCTGCGGTGTCGAGAAAGTGCCGCGCCTGCCACGCCCTGCGAGCGTGTCACGGATAGAGGCCGCACTGAGGGACCACCCTTTGCGCCCCCCCAGTGGTGTCGAGAAAGTGCCGCGCCTGCCACGCTCTGCGAGCGTGTCACGGACAGAGGCCGCGCTGAGGGACCACCCTCTGCGCACCCCCAGTGGCGTCGAGAAAGTGCCATTCCTGCCGCGATCTGCGAGCGCGTCACGGATAGGGGCCGCGCTGACGGACAACCCTCTGCGCACCCCCATGTGGTGTCCAGAAAATGCCACTCCTGCCATCCCCTGCGAGCGTGTCACGGATAGACGCCGCGCTGAGAGACCGCCCCCTGCGCCCCCCCAGTGGTGTCGAGAAAATGCCGCGCCTGCCACGCTCTGCGAGCGTGTGGCGGATAGAGGCCGCACTGAGGGACCACCCCCTGCGCCTCCCCAGTGGTGTCGAGAAAGTGCCGCGCCTGCCGCGCTCTGCGAGCGTGTCACGGATAGAGGCCGCACTGAGGGGCAGCCCCCTGCGCCCCCCCAGTGGCGTCGAGAAAATGCCGCGCCTGCCACGCTCTGCGAGCGTGTCACGGGTAGAGGCCGCGCTGAGGGACCACCCCTCTGCGCACCCCCAGTGGTGTCGAGAAAGTGCCACTCCTGCCGCGCCCTGCGAGCGTGTCACGGATAGAGGCCGCACTGAGGAACTACCCTCTGCACACCCCCGTGTGGCGCCCAGAACGCGCCTCTCCTGCCGCGCCCTGCAGGCGTGTCACGGATAGAGGCCGCGCTGAGGGGCAGCCCTCTTCGCACCCCCAGAGGTGTCGAGCAAGTGCCACTCCTGTCACGCCCTGCGAGCGTGTCACGGATGGAGGCCGCGCTGAGGGACCACCCCTTGCGCACCCCCATGTGGTGCCCAGTAAATGCCACGCCTGCCGTGCTCTCCGACCCTGGCACGCATAGAGGCCGCGCTGAGAGACCAGCCCCCGTGCACCCCCTCTGTTGTCGAGAAAGTGGCCTTATGTGTATGATGCGTGTGCGATTGTATGTGGGCGTGTGTCTCTCGTTTGGGTGCCCAGCATGCGGTGCGCGCGCCTTGACTGTATGGTGCATGCAGTGAACGCGCTAGGTGTGCACTATCATTGAATGAGGTGTGTGCGAGTATGTGCATGCGCGCGGCCGTGTATACGCGTGTCTCACGCATGCGCCGTCCAGGCGTTGCGCGTGGGTGAGAGGAAGAAGGGAGAGGGAGAAGGGGGGGGGGGGAGAAGACGCGGGCGCGACGCGGCTGGGAAGCACCCCCCCCCCCCCCGACGAAGCACGCGGGACATTCGCTTGGCGAAGGACCCAACCATATGCAGTTGTGAATGCCGCAGGTGTGAATGCCGCCGTCGTCCGCGCCCCCCAGAGCCCGACATGCTCAGGGGCGCGTTCGCGGCCGTCTTCGCGGGCGCCGACGACGACATTGACGTCGCCCCTCTGACCGAGGAGCAGAAGCAGGAGAATGCTTTGAGAGGCATGGGGAGGAGCTGGCGTTGCACGCCGACAAGGCGGAGTGCGACGCCAAGGCGCGGTTGCTGAAGCAGCGCATCTATGGGGCCACGATCCTCGTGAGGGTTGTGCCGCAATGGCCCGGGGCAACCATGCGAGCCCTGCCACTGGCGCCTTCGGTGGAGCTCCTGCGAGGCCACGATCCTCGCGAGGGGTGTGCCGAAAAGGCCCGAGGCCGCCGTGCGAACCCTGCCACTGAGGCCTTCGGTGGAGCTCCCTATGGGGCCACGATCCTTG